AATTTATGGTGATTTATGCTAGTGATCGCAAAAGGTAGGTGTAAAGCAACAACCATTCATACAGTTTAATGACCTGAGTGCTTCAAGTCTGGTGCAAAAACGCATGGTTGCACGGGCTCGCCCGGTGCGTTCCAGTCTGGGTTTCAGGCGTCCGTACGTGAAATCTACATGCACGCGAGCGCTAATTTCAAAATTGGAGGATGGTACATGCGGCGGAAACATGGCCCTATAATTTTAGCTTTGTAGTTTTTTCGCTGCTGAGTTGAAATTGATTGAGATAGTTCACTTACTTCCAAACACGCATACACGCTGGCAAGATTTTACGCATCACTACATATTATGCAAATGCTAAAACGCATATTGTCAAAGGTTTGCCAGTGTGCGTATATGTGAAGCGAGTGAACTTTGTCACCCATCTTCAAATCCTGAACCCGAGAAGCCAGCTGAAATTTTGCAAACGCGTTCCCGCCATATGTATCATCCTTGTAACTTGAAACTATTGCTACGGACGCCTGCACCTCACGTACGAAGGCAAAAAACAAACAAAACTTTGACGAAAAACAATTTCGAGAACCAGACAAGTTAGAAAACAGAATTTGCCATTGAAGTTCCCTATTCATGAGTGACTTACAGATTTCAAATTCAACAGCTGCGCACAGTCACGTCAAATTCCGCAGTTGGCGTTGCGCCAACCTGAAAACTAACCGAGAAACGATAGCTGAAATTTTGTCAGAATATTCGTCGCCTATCTAGGAAATCGTATTTCCAAATCGAGCTGCGACTTGTACGTGTATCAACGCTTTTAGGTACGCCAAATGTATTTGTAACGAACTGGCGATCTCGCTTATCAGACAAACAACGAGGCTGAAATTTTGCAGGAATATTCTGTACTCACATGTGTCTAAATTCAACTTGGAGGTCAACCCCCTCTCTTCCCAGTTTTATCGCAACTTCAAAAGCGAGTGCATTTCACGGATTTCATAATCCTTTTCTTCCGGCATCCTGTACATAGACAAATTTGCACATTTTGGTGAACGAGTCTCCGAACTATTCGTTTCATACAAAATTGATAACCATGTACGCTAGCGGTTCACGCAGCTCCATGGTGGTGCACTATCATCCTGACCGACACCCTTTTCCTCCGCGTGCATGAAAGGGCAAAACACGGCCAACACGATACGCAAGAACCATTCTTGCTATTAAAAACTTGCTTGCTTCAAGTTTAACGCAAAAACGCATGATCCCACCGCCAAACCATCCTGGGGTGCATTTGCATAAGATGCAAAAACGCAAAAAAAAAACTTTTGCTACAACTCGTCCAGCTGCACCCAAGATTACTGCTCCGCGACTACACTTTTATATTGCTCCACTATTCAAAATAGAAAGAAAACGTGCACTTTGTCCGTTGGACTGGAGTATGTGGCACACGCTAAAAAAAATGACGCGACAAAAATACAGAAGAGGTTGATGTGAAGTTCTAAAGTGGCGACTGCACATCATGCGGATTTTGCAGGACAAACCTGTAAAAGACCAAGTTTCATCTCGAGACAGTCAAGCCCATCCTCGTTTACGACCATTTCCAGGCTTGCATAAACACATTCTGCTGCAAATGCCATCATCTCTCTAAAAAAAAAAATTTTTTTTTGGATATATGCTTGATTTCAGCAACACTGGCAAAAACCTTCAAAAACTCAGCCAGGGCAAATAAAAACCTAGTAGAAAGCGTACCGGCTGCCGGTACGAGGATGCGTTTTTTGCACAGTTCGCCCGCAGGTTTTTTTCGCCAGTGGCGCGCAATTGCCGGCAGACGCTCCTAGCTGAAAGAATTGGGACTGGCCACCAAAAACTGTTAGAAATTATTACAATGACTCCCAATCCACGCCCAGAAGATCCAGCGCTCTAGATGCTTTGGTTGCACAGTTATGTCAAATTCTACGTGTTCGTACGTGAGTGGTTACGTGGATGATTTCTTCGCTCGCAGTTGCTCAAACATGGTCCTGGTAGCTCTCAGAAAGTTTCATCACTCTAGCTGCTCTGGTTGCAGAGTTACGTCAAATTTCACGTGTTCGTAAGTAAGTAGCAAAGTGAGTGCTTTCTTCGCCCGCGGTTAGTCAAACACGGTCCTGGATAGCGCTCAGAAAGTTTCAGTATTCCAGCTGCTCTGGTTGTAGAGTTACGTCAAATTTCACGTGGTCGTACGTGAGTGGCAGCATGAATGCTTTCTTCGGCCGCAGTTACTCAAACACGGTCCTGAGTGATGCTCGGAAAATTTCAGCACTCCAGCTGCTCTGGTTACGGAGTTACGTCAAATTTCACGTGTGTACACGTGTTCGTAC